CCAGATTCATGACCAACAAGCTGCAACCCCTGAGGGTTGATGCTTTGATGGCTCTACGAATCACCAAAGAAGAAGGCCTCAGGGCCTATGCGAAGAGGTACTACGAGGTGTTCAACCAAATACCCGAATGCAACCAGGAAGTAGCAGTCGTGTCCTTTAAGAACGGCCTGAAAGATGACTGCCCTCTACGGAAGTCTTTGGCAAAAACATTGCCAAAAAGCATGGAAGAACTCATGGCAAGGATTGAGAAATACGCCAGGGCCGAAGAAGATACATCGGGAAACAAAGAAGTAAAACAAGAAAAGGGAAACGGCTCGCCAAAGCGAGCCCGAGTCAATAGTGGGCCGACCAAACAAGAAATAGAATTGAGAAATAAACAAGCGGTAACAACGGTATTCCGGATCCCAATCCATAAAATCTTAGATCGGATTCGAAATCAACCTTATTTCAGGGCTCCAGCAAGAGCACCGGGGGAATTCATGGGAAGGAACGTTGGTAGACGTTGTGCCTACCACAATGAAGAAGGGCATCCAACTCAAGGTTGCAGAGCCTTAAAAGCACACTTGGAGGACCTGGTAAGACAAGGCCTTCTAAGGGACCTGGTCGATGAGGCCAGAACAAGGAAAGAGCAGGCAAGGTTGCCTCAAGCACCAGCGGCACCCCCTCCCCCAGCACAGCTACCATAAGCAGGAGAACCGAGGGTGGTTAATGTGATCCACTCAAGGGTCAACGAAAACGAAGTCAGAGGAGAAACCCAGAGGGTAAGACATTTACAGCATATCTACCAAGTCGGGGAAAAGAGGCATCGGCCAGAAGAATGCCAAGGGCCAATGATAGCCTTTACTGAAGCCGACCTAGAACTGGTCCAACATCCGCATAATGATGCCTTGGTAGTATCCCTCCAGGTTGGGGAGTGCCAAGTAAAACGCATCCTAATAGACCAAGGCAGCTCCTGTGACATCATGTACGTCAGATGTTACAAAGAGCTAGGCCTTCACCCCGATGACCTAGAACAATCCAACGGCCCGATGGTCGGCTTTAATGGAACACCGACATGGCCACTGGGTGCAACAAGCTTAGAAGTACAAGCCGGCACTAAGAAGATCAGGACGGAATTCCTGGTAATTGACACACCCTCACCATACAACATCATCCTGGGAAGACCGTGGTTGCATGCAATAGGGGCAGTTCCCTCGACGTTGCATCAACTACTCCGGTTCCCAACAGAGCATGGGATTGAAGAAGTCAGAGGAGATCAACTACAAGCCAAAAATTGCTCCATGGCAGCAATAAAATCCACCTGTAGTATACGAGAGCCAAAGAAAGCAGAAATTCTCTGAGCACGCAGTCAGTGCAGTGCTAATCCGAGAGGAAAAAGGGAGCAAAAGCTGTCTATTACGTAAGCAAAACTCTGGCTAACGCAGAAACAAGGTACCTACCACTGGAAAAATTGATGCTAGCCTTGGTAATGGCTCAAAGAAATTGGAGCCATTCTTTCAGGCACACAAGATGTGGTTGCTAACAGAGCACCCACTGAAGTCCTTATTACATCAAGGAGACTTACAGGAAGAATAGCAAAATGGGCAGGTAACACTAGCCAGTTTGACCTAGAATTTAGGCCAAGAACAGCAATAAAGGGCCAAGTTTTGGCCGACTTCGTCGCAGAACTCACACCTGAAGCCATCACACCTCGGCTCCGTCGAGCCAGAGAAACATTGCCCCGACAAGCAAAAAGAATCCCAGTCAAAGACAAAAAAGCAGAGAAAGAAAAACTCAGACCATGCAGCATCTACATCGGCGATTCATTCAGACTATTCGTCGATGGAAGA